ATTTGATTATAGCCTGAGAAACCATCCATAAATGATAAAATCTAAGCTTGAGTTGTATTATCCACCAAAACATCTTTGTGAGGCAATAGTAAATCGTCTTTAGGACTTTCTTTGTTCATATCCCAATAATCTACACATATACGCACTTTGTCGTCCTTTTTGGGCACGGGTACGATGTTAGCTATCCAAGGTGGATAACCTACCACCGCTAAGAACCCTGCATGAAATTGTTTAAGGACTTCTTTTCGAATCTTGCTAGACATGTTTGGACGAGTTCTTCTGAGTTTCTATCTAACTGGAGAGAAACCTTCCTTAAGAGGTAGTCTATGCACCACAATATCCAGATCCAATCTTGGCATGTCTCTGTAAGACAAGGAAAATATATCCACATATTAATGTAACAACTTGATCAGTCTTTCTTTGACGATTTCCTCCAATGTTGCCCCTAGCTTGATCTCTTTTGGATCTTCCTATTTGCCAAGGTTAATGGTCTCAATAGATTCTTGGTATGGTTGTATATTGTCAGATTTTTGCTCTATTTCCCTTGCCAATTCTTTGGAGATTTCAAGGTCTTCGTCATCCTCCTCTTCCACTTGGTTAATGGGTGCATTAAAATTATATTGGATAGCAGCAGTAATGTTATCGGTGATTTTAGGCATGGATCTGCACATTTATCATGTTTTGGTGCAGTTTCAGTATGTGAATTTGGAAAATTCATATGAAGAAAAGTATTTCCATTTTTTAAATATAAGAAATAAATTCAAGAGAAAGACAATGATCTTAATTGAATGCGAAATATAACTTTTATTAATTGCGAATATTGTTTGAAGCAAGTTGGGGGACCCTTACAAGCTACCCCTATGCCTTGGGCTTGACATAGGTTCTTTCAAAAACAAGAAAAAAAATATTTTGGAAAGAAAAAGATCTTCGGAATCTCCATTGATGTTTGATTCTTGAGCTCTTCTTCTGGAGCACATTCGCGGATGAAATCAGATTCTCTCTTGGTGTCGCTCTTGTTAGATATCATCGCCACTTGTTCGCCATGCTCTGTTCCTTTGTTGATGGAGGTCTCTTGGATATGAGGAACCCACGCCTTGCCTTTCATGGTAGCCTTTGATGATTCATAGCCCAAAATAAACTGATTCTTTTTCTCGGGTATCTCCACAAGTTTACCCCAACCTTTTGAGGTACCATCTTCCACAACTATTTGCAAGTCTCTCCATGAAGTCACAGTAGGTTTCTTGATTTTATCCACTGGTAGGGCTACCATTGAATCAACCTCTAAGACTTGAAATGTTGTTACTATGTAGTCTTCATATGCACTGAAATATCGATAGGACTCTATGTGACTCACAAAGATGTCCTCTTCACTGTCGATTATAACAAATCTTACTTCAATGAAGAACTTCAATTTCTGATGTAAAGTTGAAGTAATTGCCCCCTGCTGCATGAATCCAAGGTCTTTCGAGTAAACATGTATACACTGGTTCTATATCAACTACTTGAAAAGTGATATAAAACATATGCGGTCCGATCTTGACAGGAAGATCCACTTCTCCAAACATTATACTTTGAGAACCGTCAAAATCTTTGACTATCGTAGAACTATGCCTTATTACAACTCCATAGAATGTTAACTCCATCAAGCTAGATTTTGGTAACACATTGAGGGCGGAACCAGTATCAGTGAGCACCCTGGACATGCTTGTAGTACCTATTTGAATATAAATGTGAAACGCCTTGTTGTGAGCTCTGCATTATGGAGGCAACTTACTGTCATTAAAACTTAGATATGATCCAGATGTCAGATTTTTTACAACATTGTCAAACTGGTTTACTGTAATCTCTTATGCGACATGAGTAAAACTTAGAACCTTCATTAGATAATCTCGATGCGCTTCTGAGTTGAGGAGCAACGAGGGTATTGAAATCTTCTCCGGTGTTTGGTGTAGCTAATCCACCACCCTATAATCACTTCTCTTGATTATTTTCAGAAATTCTTCCGCCTCTTGATAAGTAAAATTCTTGCTTGGAAGTTCTTGTTCTTGACTTGTCTCCACCATAACGTTTCCATTATCCTTAGTTATAACATCACTTTTCTTAAGTGGTTCGGGACTATAGATTCGACCACTGCAATTCATGCCCCCTATTCCAGCTATATTTGTGATCACAGGCCCTTGACTTGTTGACGGTTCACTTTTTGCTTTAAACCATTGACTTAGATAGTTGAATCATAACTCCACAGTACCACTTTGTTGCTTTCGTAAGGGGTAGGAGATGGCCCTCTAATCACCATCGTAGTCTTCGAAACCATCAGTTTCCTTAGAGTTTGACGTGGTATCATCAGTGATGCTTCTGTTGACTCTCCTCATGGAATCACAATAGTCTTTTTATTAAGGTTTGGCCCTTGGCATGGAATTACGAATGGCTTTTTCACACTTCCCTCGATCTCAGCTATGTATTCTTCTTTAGGGTATTGCGTGAATTAGACTATGCCCTGATCCACTAATTTTTGTAACGTCTTCTCAAAAGATTCATTATGTTCCAAGAGGAACCCGCACTCCAACATATATTCTTTCAAAAGGTTTATCTGGGCCTTCACTTGTTTGGATCCCAAACTCAATAACCACCTCAATTGCATTTACAGCTGGCCCACCATGCGGGGGAATGGGATTGGTCTTGATGTTTGGCTTATCAAAGGTGATATCTTGGGAATCCAACAAATCTTGAACCTTATGTATGAAGGCCCAAATTTTTTATTTGGTATGCCCCGGAGGATTGGCATGATACTCGCACCTGGAATTTGCATCATAGTTTGGTGGGAGTGCCCTAACTGGAGGAGAGGAAGGCTTCAGTTCTACCAAATACGCCTTGATTAAGTGTTGCAATAATTGATTGTGCAACACGGGGAGATGATCAAATCTTCTTGGAGGTCTTTGAAACCTGATATGTTGTTGTTATCGTGGAATTAACAACAGATGTTACGCCCTTGGGTGTGATGCGACAACATTAATTTCTCCTTCCGTCTTTTTCAAGCAGTTTGGAACTTGTCTCTTTCAATTATAAGGGGTACTAAATGATTCCCCTTGTATCTTCCTACTCTTTATATCAGCTTCAATCCTTTCACCAACAGTCACCAAATCAGAGAATCTAAAGGAGAATCTTGCTACCATCTTATGATAGTATAACCCTTTAAAAGTTCCCATGAACATATCGACTAGTTCTTTCTCCAAGAGTAATGGTTGCACACGGGCTGCCATTTCCCTCCATCTTTGAGCATACTCCTTGAAAGACTCCTCCTTTTTCTGAGATAAGTTTTGGAGTTGCATACGATTAGGCGCCATTTATAAGTTGTACTTGTACTATCTCAAGAAAGCATTGGCAAGGTATACCCATGTGAGGATATGAACCCGCTCCAAATGCATGTACCAATCTAAGGATGCCCCACTCAAACTGTCTTGGAAGCAATGGATCATCAACTTTTGGTCTTGAGCATATGCATGCATTTTTCTGCAATACATGTGTAGGTGGTTCCTCGAACATGTGAGCCCCTTATATTTTCCAAAGTCAGGTACTTTGAATTTTGGAGGGATCGCCATATGAGGAACTAGACCCATTTTAAGAGTGTCGACATCGAAAGCATTGTAACCCGTTGAAACCACCGGCAGAAAACACAGAGCCGCCACCGAACTTTATTAATCCCGAAGGAAGGGGAAATATCGATAAAACCACAAGGGGAATGGATAAGATGGTCTTGCGACCAAGAGAAAGGGTAAGGGAGTCGGTTATGCGAGGGGAAGGTATTAGCACCCCTCACATCCGTTGTACTCAACGGGATCCATTTTGTTTGTTTGTCTTAAAGGGTGTATTTATCTACAACTAGGCTTGCTAAAGGGAAATGGATGGTTTTTGATTATTGCGTTCGTGAGGGTTTTGCGACCCTTTGCCTACGTATCCAATGAAGGAATCAGAACACCGTAGTTCCTCTAGAAAATGGTTGGTTTGTTTGTGTTTTTTAGTGGGCGACGTTAACGCACGCATTATAGCAATAGGTACAGCCGGTATCGCAGTAGAACGGAGATAACATGCCCTTTGAGGGAGTTTCGATTGGTTGAGTGTTTTGTGAGTTTTAGGATAAATTCGAATAATAATTAAAAGAGTTTTCTGAATTTTTGATTTGTGAATGTCAAGTTTTAATTACAAAAAAAAGAGGTTAAGAGGGAGACTAGAAACCTAATTGTTTGTTATGCGCAAATGAGCTAAAAGTCTATTTCGACGTAAGGCGATCGAACGGGTTTTAATCGCCTCACGGAGCTAACTAAGGGAGTATGACATTGGGGTTTGAATGAACAGATAAAGAAACTAAGACCCTAAATATTTATTGTTTTAAGAAAGATAGTACTATAATATTTTTACAACTTATCGCGAAATGAATATCGAAACCTAATTTTAACTTATTTTGGGTATTTTATGAAGTTAAATAAAACAAATTGAATTAAATAAAAAAATAATTAAGTAAATAATAAAATGAAAAAAATTAATTAAAACAAACATGTTTTTGTATTATTATTCTTTTTATATTTTTTATCATGCAATAACTATGTAAAGAAAAGAAATAAAATATATTTTTATATTTGTATATAGTAAAATACATAGAGATAAAGTTTAAAAAACTAAAAAAAGGATGAAAAATGCCCCAGCAGGGTTTGAACCCGGGTCCCCATGGCTTATTGCCAGATGCTTTTCCAGTTGAGCTACGTTGTTTATTCGTTACAATAATGGTTTAATTACAACAAAAGGAGAAACGGTGATTGAATTGGGCCATTGGGCCAAAAGGCCCAAAAGGGAGATTACCCGGTTTGGATAAGGGAGAGGAAAAGTTTTGTAAACCCTACCGTACAAAGAGGGTGCGGCAGCGGTACTGGTTATGGGGAAAACAAAACACATATTAATTATATTTTACTAACAGCAAAATTTATTAATACAAAATAAAATGTTCCTCACGTTCCAATTATCTCACGATCTCCATTCCTATCGCGATAACCTCTTCTCAGTAAACAAGAACAACAAAAACTTATAACAATTTTTAAATCTCTCTCTGTCTTATCCTTAACATTCTCTTCCTCCTTCTCGCCGAGGATCTGCTCAAAACGTGACTCCAACTCAGCGACTCGGTCAGTCAAACTCTGCAAACCGAGTTGTTGCTGCTTCTCAACTCGTTTCTGCATAAACGAATCCACGCGCACCAGATCTGCGGGGAAATGACTCGGGAGAAGACATAGATCGAGAGATTCTTCTACAAAGGAAGGGAATGGTAGGGTTTCGGTTAGGAAGAAATGTAAGGAAGATGAGTGACAAACGGGTAATGGTAAGGGAAAGGATAATGGTTCTTCTTTGATGATTTTGTATCTTCTGAATCGGCTCATGGTTGAGTGAGTGAGTGGGTGAGTTGAATCAGTGTTAACTCGTTGTTGTTGCTGTTGTGATTCGATTTGGTTTAAAATTGAATTTGATAATGATGGTGATGGTTAAGGCTCTATGTTCTGCCGGTTTTAAGATTGTTAACATGCTTAAGGGTTTTTTAACAAGTTAAGTGTTTTTTACAGATTCTATTATTTTGATAGGTTCCACTGGTAACGGGTTTTAGTATTTTTATCTTTTTTCCAGAGAAATTTCATAATAGCATTTGAACGAGAAATGGTGAGGAAAACAAAATTATAGCAACAGTCTAAAGGAAGAAAGCTGTGAACCTGAGCTAATGTGGAAAGCTTCCTCGACTACTCTGCATCAACAACTTCTATGAGTGTATAATGAGGTGAATTACCGCCTTCTACTCTTCTTCGAATCAAACTTCTCGTGTGTAGGCAGCAAATTGAATGAAGTAAAATAACAGAGGTTCAGTAATATTTTCTGAATGAGATGGTTGTGCTTGCAGGGTATTCAAGAGAGAATTTATTGATTCATCCTGATGTGAAGTGGTTTTGAGCAAAGATATACTGAAATCGGTGATCTCTGTGCAAAAAGGTTTTAGGATAATTTTTTGGTATCTCCCTACTGGTTATTGTGTGAGGTTTTTATCTAAACAATTCTCTCTTTTCTGTTGAATCATGTTTTCACTTTTATAGAGAAAAACTGATAAAATCTGGTGGGAAGAGTTGGTTCATTTGAACTATTGTAGTTAACTGTTCTATTGCTTTTATGATGCAAATTTTTTTTTTGCCATTTTGATGTATATTTTGGGATAGTATATGCAGTAAGAAAGGCAGCATAGTAGCAGCATTGGCAGCATAGTAGCAGAATTGGCAGCATAGGAGTAGAATTGGTAGTATAGTAGCAGAGTTTTTTTTGTAGCAGTAGCCTGTTTGGGACAGGTTTTGGTTTGTTGCAGGGCTGCCTTTTTTCTTTACATGTTTTTTGGGTTTTTTGCAGATGAAACAGGCATGTGTGTAGCAGCAAGTTGTGACAGGTTTTTTGACTTGAAGCAAGTTTGGACTGTTTTGCACAAGGTTTTGGAAATTGGCTAGAAGCTGTATTATATTTTGGATATTGGGCTTCATGAAATTGATGAACTTGTATTGATTTTTTTGTATGAATTTCAATATGTATGTAATGGTAATTGAATTTGGATTTTGTAATGAATGTAAACATTTCTTTGTATTGAGCTAAAATTGAATGAATTTTTTTGTATTGTGAATCAAGATTTTAAACGTTGAATCCATGAATGAGACTTAAATCTTGAATGAAAGATGGTAGAAATCAATGAATGATGAACTTGTCTTGATAATCTTTGAGTCTTTTGATGACCATGAAATAAATGTCGACTATTCAATATCTTAAACAAAATAAAGAACAAAGGCAATGGACTTTGATATTTGTAACTCAATGATGTACTCCGTTGCTCATTTTTACTTTGTATACCATGAAATCGCACAAAGAAAACTTCTTAATCTAGGATCAAACATTGACGAATCATCCTTAAGATCTTGAACCAAGATTTGTTCTTCATTTCACGCTATATTTCAATATCAACTCCACAATAATCACCTTGATGCACAAATCTTCCCTTAATCACAAAATGCGACATGAACCAAAAGAGTGCCTTAAATAAATAAAGTCTCGAAAGAAAACTTAATACACTCTTTACTGGGACAATGCCTTTTCTAGTTGATGAAATTAACACACGCATAAACGCCTTGAAATGAAGATGACTTGAGAACACGAGGATGAAACCTAGCCCCCAATATTCTCCCCTGAAATAATTATAGAAACCCTGAAAATCAACGGCCCAAATTAACCTTATCATCAACAAGTTGTAACCCTAACATCTTGTTCTTGAGACGTCTTTGAAATAGATGAAAGAGGGATTTCACAACAACCATGGATCCAAAACCATAGTCCCTTGACAAACAATAGGGAAATAAACCCTAATCCAGGCTCTGATGAGTTTGAGCGAGAACCAACCCTGTAACCTTACCACACAATTGGTTCCATGATCCGTTAATCGAGAACCAGATGTGCTTCCTTTTTACCTGATACGAAAACCTCAAAACAAGATTAGACATAAAGAGGACGCAACCCTAAAACTTTAAACCAAAGCGCCTGATTCCCTGAGATGCGGGATATGCAAATGACTGAATAACAAAATGATGCAAATGGAATGCAAATTTCAAAAACTAGACAAAAATAAAAGAGATAGGGAAAATTTGGGGTACGACAGCTGCCCCTATTTAATCGTCTTAAACCTGAAGGCCAGATTGGCGTCAGCCTTTTGAGAGTTCAAGGTGGAAGATGATTAAGTACCAGGACCCGAAATTTTCCCTAGAGAGATAGTGTTAGTGTTATTCACTGGTGTGAATGTCCGCCTGGGTAAAGACAAACTGGTCTTCTGGTGGACTGGTCATGATGGATAAAAAATGGTTGAAAAGGGTAGCTTGTACTGGGGTAACGGTATCAATACAAGGTTTTTGAGGGAGTGATCGGTAGAGTCACTGAAAGGATATGGTTGACAATATCACGGTGACTGGAGGTAAGAAACTTAAGGATAACACGAAGGTAAAGTCTGCGGAAGACTTAAGACCCTAAGCATATGGCGCAACGGCAAGATCTACAGACGATCTACGACCCTAAAAACATAACGCGATGGTAAGATCTACGGACGATCTACGACCTTAAGAGAGGTAAAGTGAAAGTAAGATCTACAGATGATGTACAACCTGAGGATGACGCTACGGTAAGATCTATGGACGATCTACGACCTTAAAAGAGGTAAAGAGGAGAAGGTAAAGTCTACGGGTGACCCACGACCTTAGGAAATGAAGTGGAGGTAAGATCTACGGATGATCTACGACCTTAGAAAAAATATAATTAGAGGGCAAAGTCTACGGACGACCTACGATCTTAAAAAAACATAACGCGGTGGTAAGACCTATGGACGATCTACGACCTTTAAAAGAGGTAAAGAAGAGAAGGTAAAGTCTACGGACGACCTGCGACCTTAGGAAGATACTACGGTAAGATCTACGGACGATCTACGACCTTAAAAAGATAAAGCGACGGTAAGATCTACGGACGATCTACGACCTTAAGAGGATGAGAGGGTGAAGTCTACGGACGACCTACGACCCTAGGAAAGATAAAGCGACGGTAAGATCTACGGATGATCTACGACCTTAAAAGGATGAGAGGGTAAAGTCTACGGACGACCTACGATCATAGAAATATAAAGCGACAGTAAGATCTACGGACGATCTACGACCTTAAAAGGACACCACTATGGTAAGTTCTATGGACGATCTACGACCTCATAAGGATGACGCGACGGTAATATCTACGGACGATCTACGACCTTAAAAGGATGAGAGGGTGAAGTCTACGGACGATCTACGACCCTAGGAAAGATAAAGCGACGGTAAGATCTACGGACTATCTACGACCTTAAAAGGATAAGAGGGTAAAGTCTACGGATGACCTACGATCGTAGGAAAGATAAAGCGACGGTAAGATCTACGGACGATCTACGAACTTAAAAGGACGAGAGGGTAAAGTCTACGGACGACCTACGACCCTAGAAAGATAAAGCGACGGTAAGATCTACGAACGATCTACGACCTTAAAAGGACACCGCTATGGTAAGATCTGCGGATGATCTACGACCTCATAAGGATGACGCAACGGTAAGATCTACGGATGATCTACGACCTTAAGAGGATGAGAGGGTGAAGTCTACGGATGACCTACGACCCTAGGAAAGATAAAGCGACGGTAAGATCTACGGACGATCTACGACCTTAAAAGGATGAGAGGGTAAAGTCTACGGAGGACCTACGACCCTAAGAGAGATAAAGTGAGTATTGAGAGTTGGGGAGCATGACGTACTAAAACCCTGGTTTATTGTAGTTGGTGTAATAGCAGATGTTAACTGGGAATTATGAGAATGATATTCTTTGTGAGGATGTTTTGTTGATTTGGGAATTAATTTGGGATTGATCTAGCTCATGCTTTACATACATTTGAAGTGTGACATGATGTTCATGGATATGCTATGCGTTTGAGGATGCAATGCAGTATGTCGTGATGATTATTGTGTGCAAAATGTCAAAAACTCATTGGGATCTATTGCTCGTCATCTTGAGGTACCAATATGGACTGGTGCTTAAAATTTGAGAAGAGAGAATTAGCCTTGTCGAGTTCACTGAGGAATAAATCTTGCTGAGGAGAAAAGACTTGATCTAACTTCCTTCATGGGTTGGACTCTTGTGAATAACTGAAAAAGAGACATGGATCTCAACCAATGCCCCAAGTTTCTCCGTGTGGGAGAATCGGGTGCTCGGTCAATGTAAGGAGGCGACGAGGAAGAAATATTGGTCAAGGTGACCGTTATGACTTGCTACCTGCACAGGAGAACGAACACTTGAACGCCACAAAATTCCCTTCGGATGCCTTCATATCTATGTAATGTAGTGTTTCACATCTTAGCTCGCGATTATTATTGACTTATTGTTTTTAATGCAATGCTTAACAAAGAAATTAAATCACAATTCGCATACGAAAAATAAAGCAAAAGAACATAACATAGATTTTTAATGGAAGGGCAAATTTTATTAATGGTTTTGGCTCGTGAATGGGCACTCATACATAGATACAACTCCTAAATGAGGAAGTTGTGGAAAAGAAAAGAAATACAACGAGTAAAATGGCAATAAGAAAATCTCGAATTTCCGTTAAAACTGATATTACTATAGTTCTCGCATCCCAGGTCATCCTAGTGCCGTGCTTCCAAAGGATAATAGTCAGATTGATCCATCCCGCATTAGGAGGGTGTACGTGAAGAGTCTTCAGACTGCAGTCTCTCGCTTTTCTGTCCCTAATTTTTGCCTGGATCGCCCTTTCGGGTTTTCAATCCACCGGGACACCCATTTTTTCCTAA